CGGCGCCCCCCGTCGCCGGTCGGCGCCCTCGCCGGCCGTCCTCGTCGCCGGTTGCCGCCCTCATCCCCGGCTCCATCCATGCAACAGCTGCACTCTCCTCTCGCTACTCACAACAAAAAAGGCCTCCGGTTGTAGCAAAAAATATCGCCCCAGGACGCCGCTCGTGCTCTGTAGGCCGCCGCCGGTGCTGGAGACGGCTACCACGCGACAGTGGTGATGCATGCTGGAACCGATCACCAGGGGTGCTACAACCGTGGTGATAAAAAGCTGGAACCGATCACCAGCGACGGTGCAGGCCATTGAATAGCGGGCGGGTTGCTGAGGTCGGCAAGGGCAGGGGCCCGTGAACCCAGGGAAAAGAGTGCGCGGAAAAAGTGCAGGGGAGGTAAACGATGAGGATGACCAGTGAGCGCCCCAAGATATTTCTCTTCGCTCTTCTAAAAAAAAGAAAAAATTCTCTTCGCCTATCGAGTGGGACCCTGACTGAGGCTTTTTTTCTTCTTTGAGAGAGAGAGGCCCCTGACCGAGACTTGTTCCTGCAACCAAAACTTCCAGCTGTACATCATTCTGGGATGCCTCCTTGCCGAGCACCGATTGGTACACGTCATTTCGGGTGGGTGGATTTTACTGTCCACGCACTTCATTTTCGAGCACAACTATATCCTCAATGGGAACATCCCAGCAGGTGCTTCATCGCCAAGCAAATTAAACAATCCTAATTTATGGTCGCTTTCGAGTGAGAGGCAATTCCATTATACAACTTGCGGTTTTGGCCGTCCGTTGGATACTTGGATGTGCTTTTCCAAGTGGCTTCCCTTAATCCTGTCATTCTGCACAAGGTTCCAAGGTAGCAGGTCATGTAGATTTCCGTCTATCAACATGAGTAAGTATTTCAAGCTGTGTGCTCAAGTGAATCGGTCTAATCATATCAGCCTCCACTTGTTGAAGCAAGAGGTACGTTTCGTGATGTCGATTGTCATTTGGTTGGCCAAGTGAGTTTCCTTGGATGATGACATTTCATTGGATGTTGAAATTGGTCATATTTTGTTGTTATCAAGCCATGTTCGGGACCGACAACAACGGTCTATCTGCATAATATCCTGAGAATTTCCTGCATGGCGACTATTAGGGCGGCCGAACACTTCATCCAGCTGGGGACAGAAGTAGTGCTCTTTGTTTCTGCTGATCAATTGAACTTGTACTCCACGATAATGACAGCGATATTTTCATCCATCAACACAGATTCACACGCCATATACTACATCAATACTATCAATGCCCATTGGTCAACTGTTACGTGGAAAGAGATCGATGTAATTTTTGTGATGTGGATAGGTGAAAAGAAAACATGCCGCCCCCTAAAGGAGAAGAAAAGTGCACAGCCTAGCCTAGCCAGCTGCGCTGCTCCAGCCGTACTGATTGTGATGCTATTTATCGTCTGGATAACCTGAGAACTACTACCTCCGTTTCTAAATATAAGTCATTTTTAAAGCTTGCATTATGGACTATATAGAGAATAAAGTGAGTGAATCTATACTCTAAAACATGTATATACACATCCGTACATAGTCTATAGTGGAATCTAAAGCAGGCTTATATTTAGGAACGGAGGGAGTAGCATGTTTCGCAAATCACCGAAGATGTTAGAGCCTGTAAGTAAATGTCCTTTTTCCAAGCGGAAATGCCTACTAGCAAAGAGTGTACCTAGTCATTGTCTGACATCTGGTTGCATCTTGCATGACTATTTGATGAATTACTTTTTTGAAATACCTTAGAATAGGATCCAAGAGAAGAATACCCATGCATGGTGGACCCGGCGTAAGCTGATTGGCTCCGCCTGAGGGAGACACGCTTGTATTATTGTTCCTCCGCGAAAGATCTGGGCGCAAATATCTTCCTGTTGGAAGCTGGTCCTGAGTACGTTGCATCTTTAGTCTAAGTCCATGGTGGGATTTTTTTTCTTGAATACGCACGAGTGTGCATATCATATATTAGAGAAGAAAAGGCACAGAAAGCTTCCACCAATCAATTTTAAGTGTGGTGATTACTCACACACATGCACAACACCACTCCACCTAGTACACATTATACTACTCCTCCCCACTAATCCACCTCGCTACACCAGGTCCATGGTGGGATCCTGATTTCGATCTAAGGAGAGCTGGGACGCATATCATTCTGTTGAAGCACTATTTACAAAGTGTGAATAATTACATGAAGCCAAACATTTGTACTCTCTTCATTCAAATCTATAGGGCCTGATATGTCTTTTGAGGTTATCTCTGACCATGGGTTAGAGAAATAATATATGACATGCACATTACACAAAGCATATCATCAAATTCATATATGGTAATTTTCTAATGATAATTTCTATATCATACATCACATGCTTCCTCCCAAAATAAGTGTCGCAACTTTGATACAGCACTGTACCAAAGTTGGTATAAAGTTGATACACTTATTTTGGGACGGAGGGAGTATATTGGTAATCTTATCTTTGGTCAAAGGCAACCTCAAAAAATATATTAGGCCCTATATATTTGGATAAACTGAGTACTAGTTTGATGTATTATTAATCTTACCTTAGGTTGAATGAATTTGTGGAACATATATTTAAACATGTGAATATTTTTTGAATTGTGTGAACATTCATTTTAAATATCGCGAACAAACTTTTATATCTTGTGAACATTTCTTTCATGTGAAGTGCACATTTTTAATTCATTACATTTAAAAATGTGTGAACACTTATCCAAACAAACATTTCTAGAATATTTATAGAAATAGAGAAAAGAATTGAAAACATAATTTGTGGAAAAAAGTAGAAAAAATACAATTTAATTTACCGCTCTTTTTCAGTTTTTTTAGGATGCTCGTTTTCTGAGGGAACGTGCTCGTATGCTTATTTTTTTAACACAGTACAGACGCAAGCGCTCATATACAAGTGCATAGACTCACCCCTATGAACACGCGCGCACACACACACTACCCCTATGAGCACCTTCAAAAGACTGAGCTGACATAGCGAGCACCAGAATTTGAACCCTGATAGGCTGGGGATACCACAGTCCCTCTAACCATCCGATCACAAGTTGGTTCACAACGTGCTCGTGTGCTGGAAGGACAATCCTCATGCTGTTCGGCCTGGCCTATGTAGAACGTTGTGGCTGTTCTAAAAAAACCGTTGTGGGTGAGTCGTCGTTTCGTCTCGCTACACACGAGATGCATACGTACTCGATGCTCACTGTATCAAATTGCTTCCAAATCGTATAGAGGGCTTCTCATGGGCCGGCGACAGAGCGCATCATGGAGTTCTCCCTCCATAAGGATTTTTCTCATATAGATTTTTTTTGCAATATTTATAAGTTTTTCAAGAACTTTAATAAGTTTAAACTTTTTTGGTGAAACTGAACAATATTTATGGATTCTAAAATACATTCACACTTTTTTGGTAAAACATTAATATATTTTTAAAAAGTAATTTTCAAAACATATTGATATATTTTTCAAATTTAGTCCTATATTTTAAAAACTGTTCTTGAATTTACAAAATGTTCTTTAATTTTAAAAATAATCATATGTTTTTGAAATGTTTTCAAAATTTAAAAGATTTGCATGCATTTAAAAAAAATATTTTCACATTTTTAAAAGGTTCTTCACCACTAAAAATACCAGGTCATATTACATTGTGCACCTTTCTATGCCCACTATAAAGACCTTTTGAGCAGAATTATTGTTAGCTCAATGCACTCACCTCATTTACACCTAAACCGAGCATGTCAACCACGACGGTAGATTTTTGGAGCACGGGGTGCATTGGTGCACCTTATTTTAAATTACTTAATAATAACATAACATTTAAAATTTGGAAAATTCCGAAAAGAATTCTACATGATCATATGGATGTATATTACACATGTGTGAAGTTTGGTGATGAAATGAGTAATCATGTGAGCTATACAAAATGAAAAAAGGGTGATTCCTAGGTAATGAATAAATACATGCACGGTTCATCTTTCGAAAATCATTATTTTATCATTTTTGTGTAACTCACATTGTTACTTATTCATCATCAGCATTTGCACCTGTGTATTATAAATTCATATGATCATGTTAATTTTTCCAGGAATTTTTGAATTTCAAAATACCATTTTAGCACTATTCAAATATATAGGTCAGTATAATTCGGGCATCAAAGTGGCTTTTTGTGTCAATCACACAAATAAAGACACATGTGCTGCTTTTGTTTCACACCAATCAGAGTACTACATCCTCCGGGTTTATTGGTCCCCTTAGTATTTTGTGCTAAATTTTGACCTTAGATTTGATTAGCAAAGTATATGTTATATGCATAAAAATTATATCGGTAGATATGTATTTGAAAGAAATTTTCAATGATATTATATTTGGTA